GCACGCACCGGCCAGCAGCAGGTCCCCCACGAAGGCGAGCGCGGTGACGGGCGCCACCAGCACCAGCGACTCCATCGCGGGGGCGACCCCAGCCTCGCCCTGCACCATGGCGGCCCCGGCGCGCACGTGGGCCTGCGCCGCTGGAACCCGAGGGGGTGGCCCACTCCCGCAGCTTACCGTCCCCGCCGGCGGACCAATCCGGCGGCCCCGCACTGCCGGGCGCCGCCCCACTTCCGGGTTCTGCAAGGCGGCGAACCATTGGCCCGCGGTTGCTAGGGGCGGTGCGCGTCCCGTTACCAGGGCCCCCCCACAGAGCAGGGCCGAGCCCGAGCCTCGCAGCCGTCTTTATTGGACCGCCCGGGGGCGCTGCTCGGAGACAGCGACAGCGATGGCGTCATCCTCCCGCGCGTGCGCACCGGGAGGGCGCCGGGCCGCAGGAGCAGGGCATGTGGCAGGGGCGAGGGCAGTGTGCGAAGGGCCGGGGCCGGGGAAGCCAAGGAGTCCCTAGAGCTCGGCGTGCTTATCGGTGCCTGGCGTGTCCACTGCCCGCTGGCTCTGGGCTGCCACACCGTCGCCTGCACCCACGTCCATGTCCTCGCCCACGTAGCGAGCCACCTCCTGCTGGAACTGCAGCTGGCGCCACCGGTTGGGGTCCACATTGATCCAGTTGTTAGCCACCCACTTGGTGCCCTGCGTGACCAGGCAGCCCCCGTGCAGCGAGTACTCGTCCAGCTCGCCCACCCAGCCTGTGGGGCAACAGCAACACGCTGTGCCCAGGGCAGGTGGCACGGCCCAGCACCGCACGGCAGAGCAGCTCCTCCCCCCCTCGGGCTCTCCCGCTGCCTCCCAGGGCTGGCCATGCCAGATCTCGGCGTGCAGGGGTGTCTGGGGAAGCCAGATGCCACCCGCCACACAGAGCGAGGCAGGACAGCCAGGGCCTCGCTGCCTGCAGCTGACAAGGACAGAGCCTGGCGTCTCGCAGGCTACTGCGGGTCTGTTCCCGCACACTGGCCCTGCAGCCTCCCGGGGTAGGGGCAGGAGTCCCACAGCCCACAGTGGGGACAACAGGAAGCAATTCCAGCTCAAGGCTGCAGGCCCCCCATCTCCCTTGGGTGTGTGATGCCCTGGGGTCCCCTGCACCAGCAGCCAGGAGGCAGCAGAGCCCATTCACCATGCCCCGTGGCAGGCGGTACCTTCCCCGTCCGACAGGTAGTTGTACCAGAAGACAGCTGTGCCCTGCCGAGGCTTCACGCGCAGGTTGCCCTTGTCACAGTTCTTCCGGGTGTCTCGCAGGTCAACATCGTTCTGGATCAGAGACTGAGACACACGATACAGCAGTGTGCCAGAGTGCTGAGCATGACACCACCACACCTCTCCACCACACCCCTGGCCCAGCCCACAACAGACAACAGCCCTGGCTCGCCCCAAGAACAGCCCCGTCTAGCTCTGATTTCAGCTGCTGCCCCTAGATGCTCCATGACCCCCCAGCAGGGCAGCACCTCAACCCCTGAGAACCACGCTCTGCGCCTCCCTGGATGTGGGCACTATTGGACTATGAAATGCAAGGGCCCAGGGTGTGACAGAGTTGCAAGGGTAGGCGTAAGGAACCCAAGACCCAGACCCTGCCTTGCCCTGGGCACGAGAGGCTCCAGTTCACATCATGGGGGCCAGAGGTGGCTGCATTACCATCTCCTCATAGGTTCTGTTGTCAGCAATGGGGAAGACCGTCTCACCGCCTCCGGTCACGTTGTTCAGGTAGAACAGCACCGTCACGTAGCTGCGAGAAAGCACAGCTGAGGGGCGCAGCCTACAGCTCCGACACCAGGCTCCCACCACCACCCAGGGGCTGGGCCGGGTTGCTGTCTGGGGAGCAGAGTTGGGCAGAAACACTCTGGCAAGGAGGGCCCAGTGCTTGCCTCTGCCAGGGTCAGCCCCCTGCTTCTCCCTGGGCTTCCCCCTCTCCTGCACCCTCTGGAGCTGACTCCTGAGGTCACAGTCAGACCAGCCACACATGCAAGGCCCCCAGCATCTGACAACTGCACAGACCCTGCTTCTGGCTCGAGACCCCTCCCCTCTAACCCTGCTCACCGGCACGAGGTCTCGAAGGGAGCACTCTCATTGGCCACCAGCTTGGTGTGGCTGCAGGCGGTCTCGGGGAACACGGGCCCGCTGTCCATGTGGGCATGGTAGTGCCCTCCCTGGTCATACCGCACCACCTGCAGTGGTTCACTGTGCTCCACGATCTCCAGGGGCAGGCGCGTCAGGCGCATCACCCTGGGGGCAAGGGGCAGAGCAGGTGAGGCAGGAGCGGCACTGAGGGAGAGGCTGCCAGCTCTGCAGCTCAGAAGCCTGCCCCCCCGGAGTCCAGGTCCCCCAGGACTATCCATGACATGCAGGGCAGTCTCAAACCTGTATAGGGATGGCCCTGCCTGGGAGACTGTCCGTGAGGGAGGCCTGGGACAGGGGCTCCAGGAGGCAAGGAGCACAGGCCCTGGGACCATGCACATTGACAGTGCTCATACAACCCTGCTTCCCAACCTGGATGAAGACAGCAGGCTCAGCCCTCCCCTGGTGGAGTTTCAGATGCAGCTCTGGCATCACTAACTGGGGAGGAAGCCCCCTTCCTAATGGCTTGCTTCTGCCTAATTGGGACTCAGGTGAGACATGCAATCAGCCCAGTAATTGCTGGCAACCCAGTAACGGGAAAGTTGCTGCTCTCCCCCAATCAGTCTTCCTGTCAGTTCTAATTAATTATCCCCCCCACCAGCTCCATGGAGTCTTTGTGGCTCTGCAGGGCTGCCCCGGAAGCAGGATGTGCTGGAGGCTTGACTCTGCACAGCGTGAGCCGCATTGCCGGATGAATTAGAGTCCTAATGGGAAACTGGGCTCCTCTCCTTCCAGCAGGGTGAACACTAACAAGACAGGCCGTGGTTGTCCCAGCAGGGCTGTGCGTGGGCAGACAGCTTGGCTGTGAGTGTGTGGACACTCTCCACCCCTTCCCCAGACCTGGGCTGCCGGACCCCAAACCTTTGCCGTATGGCCCTCATGACATGGTGGGCGCCCTCGCCTTGGTACAGCCATGTGTGCTGGCTGTTCCGCACCAGCTCGCTCATCTTCACAGTCCGGCTCCCCATGTACTTGTGGAAGTCGCGGATGTTAAGCTGCTTGAACTCCTCCAAGCTCAGCACGCCTGCAGGAGAGAGGGGCGGCAGCCAGCTCTGAGCAGTGCACACGACCTGTGCCTCGCCCTCAGAAAGGCACTGCTGGGCTTTGTCCTAGAAAAGGGCAAACCCTTGCAAGTGCCCACAGCTGTGTGCACCTGGCCGACGGGTGCACACAACAGGCATGACCTGGAGACAACAGCACGCGCCTGTGTTGCGTGGGAAGGCACGTCCTGCAGAGGACGTTCCACCCAGACAGGAGTGTGCTATGGTAGGGCTTTGCTTTTCCAGAGGAAGCCAGCCCGTGCAGTGAAGCGCAGGGGAGATTGCAGCCCCGCCGGTGCTTCCAGGGCCTCGGTGCCCCTTGCCTAAAGGGGTGCCTAGTCACAGGGTCAGCTTGGGATAGCTCCCCCAGTGTGGGCACAGCCAGACTGCTGGCTGCCTCCACTTCCAGCTGCCTGCATACATCCTCTCCCTACTGCCCTTCCCCTTCCCGCTGCCCATGACACTGCCACGTCCGGGGCTGACCCAGCCTGCCCCTGCTGTGGGCAACAATGGAGGGAAGCAGAGGCCTAGAAATGAGGCCCTGCCAGTGGCGCAGAGCCGGGCACAGGAGCTGGCCCCCAGGCTTCCCCTCCCTGAGCGCTCACAGCAGGGAAGCCGCAGACGGCTAGCTCCTCCGCCCACTGCCTGCCAAGGAGGTCATGAGCCACAAGAGCACAGGGCCAGCGCGGGGGCGTCTCCCTGGTCCCGGCATGGCTCAGCATGCCAGGCGACTAGAAGCGAGTGCACCCAGCCTGTGCGTGCACTTGATTTGACCAGGAAATGGAGAGGCACTCCATTGACAGTGCTCTAATTAGAGGGGGGCCAGGCCAGCAGGAGGCCGGGGGGAGGGGGCTCTGGGAACACTCGCACACTTGGGTGGGGTGGGCAGGGAGAGAGAAGGGCAAAGTGACCTGCCCATGCACCCTGGCATCTCATGCAGCACCCAGGCCTCCACAGTGCCACCTGCCCTGGGACTCCAGCCCCCCCTGCGAACAGACCCACAAGCCTCCCTGGCTCAGCCACCCCAGGGCCAGTTCCACAGGCACTGTGCAGCTGGCACGGAGAGCACAGGCTGTGGGGCCTAGGGCAGGCCAAAGGCTCTGCAGACAGGATGTGGCATGGGCTCTGGCCACCTCTTCCCCACGGGGTGGGGGCCAGGGCAGGAAATCTGCTGCAGAGCAGATGCGGGCAAGGCCCATGCATCCATGCCATGGGGGCTCCATCACACTGGGGGAGGGTTGCCCCAGGGCTGCACTCACCATTGCCATCAGGATCTGCCTTGACTGCAGCGTACATCTCCCGGACGCTCTCGGGGGTCATCCACCGGCCGCTCCCCAGGCGGGTGTGCGTCAGCACCTGCAGCAACAGGCCACAGGTCACCCAGGGGCACAGAGTGGTCCTGCCCCGGCCCCCTTTCCCTCCTCTCTACCTCCTTCAGCTGCAGCTGCCCATCCTGGTTGTGGTCCAGTAGGTTGAAGATGTCCATCTGGCTGATCTCGATCATCTCCATGGCCTCCTCGTAGTCTTCGGTGGGCAGGATCTGGCTCTTCTGCAGCCCCTTCAGCTGGGCCAGGTGGATGATCAGCTTGCACTCCTCCTCGGTCAGGAAGTCGGGAATTTCTGCGGAGAGAAGGGGAGCTAGTTGGAAAATCCCAGAGCTTCCCCAGGGCATGCGGAGCCGGGGCCTGGCTGGTGGCAAGCAGCTACACTGGAGGGGCAAACACGAGGCACTCGCGCTAATAAGACTGTCAGGCATGTCGACCTCCCCTGCCCTCAGGACAGGAATTCAGTGTGTGGCAGATGGTCACACATGGCCTGGCACAGGCCCTACACCCCAGGACCCAGAGCAGCCGGCCACTGGGCTTACTTAGCACCCGCAGCAAGCAGCTCTCAGCTCAGGACACCACGGATGTGGGTTTGTATTTGAGGGTCGGCTGGAGGCCATGACAGCTGCACAGTGCCCAGGGCCGGCTTTGCCCTGGACCCCGCAGGAACCTCATTTCACCTGGCCCTAGTCAGCAGCACAAAGCCGGGCACAAGCAGCTAATGCCAAGAGGGCCTGGCATTTTGAAAGCAAAACCATCTCCCTGTGCCCACATGGCTGGGGGAGTTCTGGCTGAATGGTGCCTGGAGCACACAGCGGCGGCCACAGGACACAGTGAGGCCCCATGGGACATGCCACCTAAGTGTGAACAGCCCCAGACAGTTGAGGGTGAGGACAAGAGCTGCTGCGGAAGTGCTCCCAGCTCCTGCACTATGGCTGTAACCCAGAACCTCTGCAGGGGTCAGAGCCAGGCCCAAGACAGCCACCTGCTTCCCAGGCGGCCGGCTCCAGCCATAGCCACAGCCACAGCCTCTCGGATAGAGGGGTCCCCGAGGCATGCACCACACACCCCACAGTGACCAGCAGGACACAGGCCAGCCCCTCGCCCCTCGGAAGGCGGACAGTGAAACAACTGCCTGGGCATCTGAACTGCAGGCCATATGGGAGCGCCTCTCCCTGAGCCCCGCAGCAGGGCTCCCTGCCCATGCCCTGCCATGGGCCACACGATGCCAGCGACCCTGTGAGCCAGTGGGAAAGCTCCCTGCAGTGGTTAAGTGCTGGCTGGGCACCCAGCCTGCTGCCCTTAACAATGGCTGCAGCTAAGCAAATGGCTCCTAATTGACTTCGGGCGACACTTGATTGCTCCTCTGCAAAAACAAAGGAGTGGGAAGCATCAGGGTTTATACAACAACAACGACTAATCCGGGAGGCGGGAGCAGGGGGTGGGCCTCAGAGACCTGTCAAGCAGAGAGTCAATCAGGGCCAGGGGCCAAGCAGCACCTTCTGGTCCAAGCCAAGCCCCCCAGGAAATGGGAACAATCAGGGCAATTGGCAAGCAGAAGGGCAGCATTGTCTCCCCCAGAGAGGGCTGCCCCAGCCAGACTGGATTAGCACAGGGACTCCCGGCCTATAAAAGCCAGGGGCTGAGGGCAACAGCACATCTGCTGCCTGCCTCCCACCAGAGATGGGTGCAAAGAGTGGCAGGGGCTGGGTACTGACATGGCCATGGCTGCTGGCCCTGCTGGGCAGGAGCCACCTGGCTGTCCAGGGGAGGACCCTGCCCAGGACCTCGCAGTGCGTGCCCGTCCCCAAGAGCATGGCCCTGTGCTACGGCCTCGGCTACACCGACATGAGGCTGCCCAACCTGCTGGAGCACGAGACTGTGGCCGAGGCCACTCAGCAGGCCTCCAGCTGGCTGCCTCTGCTGGCCAGGGAGTGCCACCCGGACGCCCGGATCCTGCTCTGCTCGCTCCTCGCCCCCGTCTGCCTGGAGAGGTAAGGTGCCACCGTCCTTGCCAGGGGAGCGGAAGGTGCCTGTGGCTGCTTGGCATCTCCAGCCCCTTGCTGTGCACCCGCCTGGTACGGGGCTCTTCCTTCCAGCTTCCACCTCAGGCTACACTCTGCATGCCAGCAGCCCCACACGGACCCTGCTGCTGTTTCCCCTAGTGCCCGCTGGCATAACAAGGAGTAATGGGCACAAGTTGATGGAGAGGAGGTATAGATTAGACATCCGCAAAAACTACTTCACAGTTAGGGCGGCTAGGAGCTGGAACCAACTTCCAAGGGAAGTGGTGCTGGCCCCTACCCTGGGGGTCCTTAAGAAGAGGCTGGATGCCTACCTGGCTGGACTCATTTGAGTCCTGTTTCTTGTTTTGGGGTTTTGTTGTTCTCCCGCCCTGGCGGGGGGGTCGGGCTAGAAGATCTATTAGGTCCCTTCCGACCCTAAATCTATGAAACTATGAAACTATGCCCCACTTCCCTGCCCCAGCCCCTCTGTACCCCCCAGGCTCACCCCACGCTGCTTTCTGCCCAGGGGCACGCAAGCAGCTTACCCTCCCCGGACATTCCCCTACCTGCCCTGGAGCCACAAACCCCTCAGCATCCCGCAGCCACCTGCACTGCCCGTCGGGGAGGCGCGGGAAGGAGGCAGCTCCCTGGCCTTCCCTGGGCTCAGGCACTTCGCTCCCACTGCTCACCCTTGTCCCTGCAGCAAGGGCTCTCTGACAGGCTGGTGTAGCAGAGGGCTCCCCAGATACAAGGCTCCATTTGGTTCCCAACCTGGACGGCACAGGGTCTGGGTCAGAGCCAGAAGAGCATGGTCCCCATCTAACAGATAGGGACAAATGAGGCCTGGGCTGAGAAAGGTGCAGGGCAATGGATAGGGAGTGTGGGCCCCTAAGCAGGCTCTGGAAGGCTACAGGGAAAGGCTCACCTCAATCCCACCAACTCTCTCCAGCTTCATCTTCCCATGCCGCAGCCTGTGCGAGGCTGTGTGGAGCAGCTGCGCCCCCATCATGGAGTGCTATGGCTACCCCTGGCCTGAAATCCTGAACTGCGCCAAGTTCCCTGCGGATCACAGCCTGTGCATCGCAGCCATCACCCCCGAAGAGACAGCTGCCAGCCGGAGAGGTAAGGCGCCTCCTAACCCACCCTGCTGTCCAGGGCATTGAGAAGCATCCTGCCACAGGGGCAACACTCTATTTCCAAGGTTAAAACCTCCCACGCCCCAGAGAGCAGAAGCAGCCACAGAGTTCATCTAAGATTGCTCCCCGCAGGCCTGACCTGCCCAGGACTCCTGGGGGCTTCTCAGATAGTGGTGGAGTAGCAGCTCTGAGGAAAAGCCAGCTCCGCTGCGCTGCTCTGAGCTAACTGCCCTTCCACCCGTGCAGCCCTGGTGCTGGCCTCGCCACACCCAAGGTTTGGGTGTCTGTGGAGGACCTAGCCCAGATAACCCATGTTTCCAGGGGCAGGGAGCCAGTCCAGCCGGGGCTCCAGCTCTCACTAGACACCAGTCAGGAGGCAAAGAGCTGGAGGAAACGGCCCAGCTGAGCACAAGCAAAGCAAAAAGGGGACAGCCAAGGGAGAGGCAGAAGCTGCCTGGGCTGTCCTTCCTATGCCCCTAGGGTAGTGGGCTAGTTGTGCACAAGGAAGGCTCTGATGCCTTCTCTTACAGCCGTACCACGAGCCAGCTGCAATGACTGTGAGCTCCAGGAGGCCAGCACTACCAGAGAGGTCCTGGAGGGCTTCTGCGCCAGCGACTTCAGTGAGTACCGTGCTTCTCCCCCAGCCGGCTTGGGGAGCTGCAGAGCCCCAGGGGGTGGGGGGGTGGAGGGGAGCCAAGCAGCACGAGTGTCTCCATGGTGGGCAGCACCCAGTGGGGTCAGGCCAGTGGCTCTCGTAACTCCTATCCACATCACGCCCAGAAGCTCACTGTCCTTGCTCAAGCAAAGAGCTGGGAGCAGAGGGCTGTCCAGAGCCATTAGCCATGCCATTCCCCCACAGCACTAGTCCTGAGCCCAGTCCTGCCACTGCCTGGGTCTCTGGAACAGAGGTGGAGCTGGAGCTCAGGTCAGGGCTGTGGGGGGCCCTTGCCCAGCTGCTTTAAGTGATCCTGGCACCCCCTTCGCTCTCCCTGCTCCAGCAAAGAGCAAGGGGGGAGAACTAGGATCAGCTCCAGGGAACACGTGGGCCTGCTCAGGAAGTTCCCAAGCTCCGTGCAGTCGCACTGATTGGGCAGGGAGGGGAAGCCTGGAGCTGGCTTTTTGGCTGTAGGAGGGACCCCAGTAGGACATCTCCATGTGTCTGTCTCCTGCTCCGCCAGCTGCAAAAATCCGCATATCCCGGAGGAACGCAACGTCTACCCTAGCTGGTTTCAGCCTGGACACCAGGGTGGAGATGCTGAAGCATGGCCCCCTGCTGTGGGCCGACACCTACCCCAAGCTGCAGCAGTGGCTGGACCTGGACGCCACGTGCGTGCACAACATCATGCGGGGGACACAGGCGGGTGTCTATGTCGTCAGTGGGACCATGCACCAGGGCCGCCTGGTGGTGAACAAAGCCTATGACTGGCACAGAAGGAACCGAGCCCTGCAGCTGGCTGTGCGGCGCTGGAAGCAGCACCGGTGCCGCAGATAGGCTGGCAGGCTGCTCCAGCCCCACTCCCACACACTGCTCCCTCCCCAGGCCTAGAGCACGACCCCTGCCAGCCCTGGCCAGGGGAAGGGGCTTGGAGCAGCAGGCACTTGAATGGGTCAGATGTAGTTGCTAGCCAGGGGCCAGGCCACAGCATTACACCACAGGATCCCTGTAAGAGGCTAGGGAGGCACTGCTGCTTCAGAGGGCACAGCACTCTCCTCCTGCCGCACTGGAGCCCAGCTGGAAGCAGCATCACAGCAAAAGTGAAGGGGACCCCTTAGGTCAGAGCTGCCCCATGGAGACACCCACTAATTAGCCCTGCCTGTTCCCTCCCAGCAACATGCCGTAGGCACTTCAGCGCTGTTACCGATCTGCAACACAGGGCCACAGGCTGTTCCAGACACAAAGGTATCATGTGGGTCACCTGCCTGGCAGGAAGAGACAAGGGAGCTGCATCCTCCATCACACCTTGTACCTCCCAGGCTCCCTGTGTAGGAGAGCAAGGGCTTAGTTTTGTACTGCGCTAGCACAGGGCAGCACTGAGCACAGCCCTCTGGCAGCCTCAACCCTGCAGCACAAGGCCAGGGCCAGAGCAGGGAGAGGCAACGCCAGCATGAGAGAGTTCTGCTCTCCCACTCCCACAGAAGTTCAGGGCAGTGGGCAAACTGGAGAAGGCAGAAAGCAGGGCAGTTGGAGGGGGTGGCTTTGGCCAGGCGGTTCAGGGAGCTGGAGAGGCAAGGTTATTATGGTAATATCTTTTATTGCACCAACTGCTCGTTAGCACCTTTGTTAGCACCTAATGATGCCCCTGACCTAGTGCCCTGGAGAAAGGGAAGCCCCAGGGCAGGATTTACTGCTTTCCTACAACCCAGGAAGCTGATCACCAGCAAATCACTGTAAACATCCCCTAGCTGGAGATGCATCTGATACCATTGTCTCCCTAATGATGGCACTAATTGGCCACGAGACTTCCCTAAGGTCAGGGATGGAGTCCCCAGGCCTTCCCCTATTGAAATGGGGTCAGGGAGGTCAGCTGGGCCCTGGTCCCTGTATCAGGAGGGAAGATGCCCCTTAGCTGTCAGTCCAGCTCAGCACTGCCAGCTGGTCTGTGAACAGCCAGGCTGCACAGGCCTTGCCTACCGTATGGAGTTAGCTGGGAACTGCTCAAGAAAGATGTGCACTGACAGCCAGGAAATGCAGGGGTGGGGGAGACTTCCCACTGCCCCCCTTACCCAGCGAGATCTCCAGTCCCAGGGCAAAGCAGAGCCAGCTGGAAGGAGGCCTCTTGTTGAACTTTGAGTACATTCCTGTAGCACTGCCTCTCCAGAGCAAGTCCTCCCAGGTCAGACAGAGGGGCTGGAGTGCCAGGTTAAGTCTGCTGATGGTCCACAGCTTTCCTGAAGGCTGGGACCAGCTCTCTGAAATAAACAGCATTCACAAAGACAAAGCAGCCAGGACCCAGGGAAACTGGACCAGCAAAACCCAATTGTCCTGTACCCCCAGGCCACACTCTGTCTCACTGCTCTTATCATGGGGGTGACTGTTGGAAGACATTCACTCCACATCTGGGTCCTCTCCCGCTGCCAAAAGGAACGCTGTTGGAACGTGAGAGTTATGAATACTGTGTATTCAGACCCTACGATGACCGAGCTGTGGGTTTCTGAAGGACGCTTGTTGCATTAAAGGGATCCAACAAGAAACGTGTGTGGTTCACTCTGCCAGCCACTGTGCCCGCCTTTCCCTATCAGAGGAAGGGACGGTGCCATGCAGAAGTCAGTGGTGCTGCTGTGCCAGTACCTGCCCTAGACGCAGTTTCTCTCTGCCCTACCAAGAGAGCTCAGGAATCGTTACTGCCAGGAGGATGAATGCAGGTACTTCCCAGTGGGACAGAGAGAACTTCCAGGAAGCCTAGAACCAAGTGCCAGGAGAACCGGGCTGTCCATGGGGGTCAAAATGCAGGGTGGAGTGGGTTTCACATGGAGGGTTTTTGTGCCTGTGGAAAGGGAAAGGAGCATGAGCTCAGGGCCATGCACAGGGGCTGCAGGAGGCCACCCCTTCACCCACTTGTCACCCATTTCCTCTGTCAGTGCCCAGGCCCTACCACAGACCTGCCCCGACCACTCTTTCCAGGGGACCAGGACCCCCTGCCCCCTCCCTTGCCCTCAGCAAGCTCTGCAGCACTCCCAGCAAGCACTTTGGTCCCTAGATTTAAAACAAACGCAAGGCAGGGATTTTTGGGGGTGGGGGGAAACCCTGGGAAAAACCCCAACCAGCCCTCCAAACTGACTCTCCTCAGCAGCTGCCACAAGCAACCGGCCTCTGTTTGCAAGGGAGTGAAACAACTAGAGCGGCTGCTTGCCTGGGCAGCACCTTGCCAGGCAGGGACCGTGAGTGACCACAAGGCCTTTCTTTGCTTCCTGATCCAGAGGAAAAGAAAGTTCCTTACAAAGCCCCTGGCCCCAACCCCACGCAGCAACCGTGATCAGACCAGGCAGCCCCGCTTGTGCTGGCAGCACTCTGCGCCCATGTCGCTCGGGAGCCCAGCTCCGCCCCGGGCGCACGGGGCAGGTGCTGCCTCCCTCTGCACGACTTCCTAGCTGCCCTGGCGCTGCGTCTCAACACGAGGAGGCGCCCACGTGATCCGTCTCCCGCAGGCAGGTGCCAACACCCCTCTGCCCCGCGCCCAGCAGGACTCACGTGCAGTGTGCCCGAGGGCAAACGAACAGGCCTGTCCTCCTTCCCCACCCGCTCACAGGCCGACCAGAAGCACCGCGGCTGCCTGCGACAGCGCTATTGCCCTGGCCAGCTGCGCACACGCGGGTCTGTCCGCAAGCGCAGCCCACGGCCCTGCAGCCCACGCACAGGGATGGACGGGCGGTGGGGGGGGAGTGTGGACCTCCCCGGACGCGCAAGCCCCGGCCCGCCTCGTCTCGTGCCTTACCGAAGAGCTGTGGCTTCAGGCTGAGGGTCCTCATGGCGTGCACCCGGCCTGGCACCAGCTCCAGCCGCTGCTCGTGGCCGACCTAGGGGGAGAGACGGGGGTCAGGGGTCACAGCCCCTGGGCACTGACGCGCTGTCTCAGGTCGGGGTCACAGGTCATGTCCCCCGGGCCTTGCCTTGATGCCCTCGCGGCGGGGCAGGGCGGCGGAGGCGGCGGGGCCGGTGGGGCCGGGGCTGCGGGAG